GGCACAAAGTCAAGAATGTCCTTCAATCATCTCAGTCAACCACCATCAATTGTTGTTAATGTATTTTCCATTTATACAGGAGTATGAATAGGTAATGACAATGTATATGCTTTGTTTTAGGACCTAAATTGATTCTCGTATGATGTATATATATACCTTATTATTTCTCAATGAAATATACAAAAATTATTTTCCTTTTCATGCTATCAGAGCCAGAACAATTCTGAGCCTTATTTCCTTTCCCTTCCCATTCACAGCAAAGGCCGAACATGGCAGAAAATGACAGTCAATTGATCCAAAACTCAGCCAAGCCTGAGGCCAATGGATACGACAATCCAAATGATCCTTTTTACCTTCATCAATCTGATCAACCAGGGCTCGTACTTGTTGTACAGCTACTGAATGAAGAAAACTACAGTACCTGGAGTCGTGCCATGCTCATGGCTCTCAGCATCAAAAATAAAGAAGGCTTCGTCACCGGTATTATTCAACAGCCACCAACAACGTCCACCACAGAACTCCAACGATGGAGGCGCTGCCACAATCTTGTAAAAGCATGGCTTTTTAATTCAATCTCACAAGAGATTGGAGCAAGTATAATATACAATGAAAGTGCTCATGAAATCTGGGATGATTTAAAAGAACGTTTTTCACGCACTAACGGTGTCCATCTTTTCCATGTCGAAAAGGCCATTCATGACTGCAAACAGGAAAATATGACCATTGGTGCTTATTATACCAAACTGAAGGGCCTTCGGGATGAACGTGATGCATTGTGTTCTATCCCAACCTGTACCTGTGGGACTGTGAAGGAAGTTTTGCAATTTCAGCAAAGCCAAAAGAATATTAAATTCCTTATGGGGCTTAATGACGTGTATGCTGCTGTTCGTGGAAAAATATTGCTTATGGATCCACTTCCTACAATCAACAAAGCCCGCTCTCTCATCCTTCAAGATGAAAAACAGCGAGGACTGTCAAAGGAAAGCACATTGCAGCCTGAAGCTGTAGCCTTTGCTGTGAGAAATAACCCACGAAGCTCTGAGAGAACCTACATGCTTAAAAGTCCTCATTCGAAATGTGGGAAATGTGAGAAAGTTGGGCACACCTCAGAGGCATGCCGATCACACCTTAAATGTGATTATTGCAGTGCGCAAGGACACACCATTGATTTCTGTAGGAAGCTACAAAGGATTAATTCTGGAGGTGGTAAATTTGATCAGCGAGAGCGTAAGAATAATTTCTCTAAAGCTAATCATGTGGATGCCAATATAACAGCACCTCCCACGCCCTTCACTCTCACGGCAGAGCAATACCAGAACCTCATGGCGATGCTTGATAAGAACAAGTCCAAATCCATGGCTAATCATGTTAGTAGTACATCTGCTATAAGTGATCTCTCAGGTATAACCTTCTGTGCTCCCATTATTGGTCAAGAAATTCGTTGGATACTTGACACAGGAGCTACCGATCACATGGTTTGCTCTGTTGACTTATTAACCACAAAATCTTATGTTATTGATCGAACTGTATATCTCCCTAATGGAAAACTAGCGACTGTCACACACATAGGCAGCATTCATGTGGCTGATTTTACATTACATGATGTGCTTTGTATTCCTTCCTTCAAATTAAATCTCATCTCTATTAGCAAACTTGTTTGCAATTCCCATTATCTTGCCACATTTACTAAGAGTACTTGTATGCTACAGGACCAACGATCGGGGAAGATGATTGGGATGGGAATTGAACGAAGAGGACTTTACTACCTTGATACTACGCAGAAAGCCAGATGCAACTCAGCTACCTCAACAACCTGTCAACTTTGGCATAAACGCCTTGGTCACCTTTCAAATAAAAGTCTACGTTTACTTTCCCATTTAGATACAAAAATAAAATTTCATGATGTTTCTGATTGTTTAATTTGCCTATTAGCCAAACAAACTCGTTCTAAATTTCCATTAAGTTCAATTCATGCTCATGCAACTTTTGAATTAATTCATGTTGATATTTGGGGAGGATACCATGTTCCTGCAATCAATTGGGCACAATATTTTCTTTCTATTGTGGATGATTACACCCGATGTACATGGGTTTATTTGATGAATCATAAATCTGACGCCTCTAAATACATAACCTCATTCATCAATTTAATTGAGACATAATTTTCCTTGAAAGTCAAAATTCTTCGCAGTGATAATGGCCCTGAATTTATAATGAGAAAATTTTATTTAGATAAAGGGATCATTCATCAAACCAGTTGTGTCTCTACTCCACAACAAAATGGAGTAGTGGAGCGAAAACATCGTTACCTCCTAAATGTGGCCCGAGCTTTGCTATTTGAAGCCAATCTTCCCAAAAAGTTCTAGAGAGATGCCATTTTAACTGCTACATATCTCATCAACCGAACACCTACACTTCTCCTAAAAGGAAAAACACCCTTTGAGATGCTTTTTCACAAACAGCCCACATACGACCATTTGCGAGTTTTTGGATGCTTGTGTTTTGCCTCAACACACCATCATCATCCCTCAAAGTTTGATGCAAGAGCCACACAATGTCTCTTCTTAGGCTATGCATATGGCCAAAAGGGATATAGACTTTATGATCTCTCAACTGGTAAAGTTTTTGTCTCACGTGATGTTTTATTTCATGAAAATGTTTTTCCTTATTCATCTCCACCATACGTTCCTCTCCAATTTTTTCTAGTAATCAACTGCCAACATATGATGATGACAACCCCACTCCATCCTTTTCCCCACAATTCAATGCTGAACCAATACCATCAGAACTTATCTCTCAAGAAACTCCTCCTTCAAACTATGTCACTGACACTATCTCCTCTGATATTACTTCGTCTACTACCCAACACTCTCCAACTTCGTCCCACGAGTCACAGATACCTTCCTCGCGATTGACACGAACAACAACAACACCTAGTTATCTTCGAGAGTATCATGTTGGTGTTTCTCTTCCTTCAAGGAACATTCCATCATCTAACTCGGCGATGGTTACAGAAACAGGTATTCTTTATCCCTTATCTGATTTCGTTTCTTATGATAAGTTATCACCCAAACACCATGCTTTCACCACTTCTCTTTCAGTGGAAAAAGAACCAACATCCTTTGAACAGGCAATTTGTGATCCCAAATGGTGCCTAGTTATACAACAAGAACTTGCTGCACTCAAGACTAACGGAACATGGTCTCTTCAGACACTTCCTCCAGGAAAGAAGCCAATTGGCCGCAAATGGGTATACAAGATCAAATTCAAACCCGATGGTACTGTCAAACGCTATAAGGCCAGGTTGGTAGCCAAAGGATACAACCAAATAGAAGGATTAGATTACAGTGAGACCTTTACTCCAGTTGCAAAGCTTGTAACTGTTCGCCTCCTCCTTGCTGTGGCCTCAACCCAACATTGGCACCTTCACCAACTTGACGTCAACAATGCTTTCTTGCATAGAGATCTTGATGAAGATGTGTACATGACTTTACCTCCTGGTTTCGGACGAAAGGGGGAGATAAGAGTTTGCAAGCTTCACAAATCATTGTATGGTCTCAAACAAGCATCTCGCCAATGGTTTATCAAACTCACCACTGCCCTCAAACGAGCCAACTTCAAACAATCAAAGGCTGACTATTCCTTGTTCGTCCGATCCCAAGATGGTAAATTCACTACTCTCCTTATTTATGTAGATGACGTCATCCTTGCAGGAAATAATCTACAAGACATTGAAGATACCAAGTCATTTTTAAGAGATCAATTTAAATTGAAGGACCTTGGGCAATTGAAATATTTTCTTGGAATAGAAGTTGCACGATCCAACAAAGGCATTGTTCTTTCACAATGAAAGTATGCTCTCGAAATTCTCGAAGATGTTGGTTATCTAGGGGCCAAACCAGTCTCTTTTCCCATGGAGCAAAACTTGTCCCTTAGTAAGTTTGATGGGGACTATATTAGTGATCCTTCTTCATATCGAAGGCTTGTTGGACGACAAATTTACTTGACTATCACACGACCTGATTTGACATATGCGGTACATGTTCTAAGCCAATTTATGGACAAACCACGAGTCCCACACCAAGAAGCAGCTTATCGTGTATTATATTATGTGAAGCAAACACCAGGTCAAGGAATTTTTCTTCCTACAGATAGTTCAATCCAATTAAATGCATTTTGTGATGCGGATTGGGCTAGATGTCATGATACTCGACGATCTGTCACTGGGTATTGTATATTTTTTGGAAGTTCATTAATTTCCTGGAAAACCAAGAAGCAAACTACGATATCACGATCTAGCGCAGAAGCTGAGTATCGATCTATGGCTGCAACTTGTTGTGAGATTACTTGGTTGAAATACATCCTACAAGATTTGGGCATCCAACACTCACATCCTGCCAATCTATATTGTGACAATCAAGCGGCACTACATATTGCTTCCAACCCAGTTTTTCACGAGCGAACAAAACATATAGAAATTGATTGTCATCTTGTACGGGAGAAGGTTCAAGAAGGAATGGTCAAAATGACTCATATATCGACATCACACCAGCCAGCTGACATCTTTACAAAGCCCTTGAGTTCTTCACATTTTTCGACTTTACTTGGCAAGTTAGGAATTATCAACATATATTCCAAACTTGAGGGGGAGTGTTAAAGAATTAAAAGTGAATCAAGGCATAAAGTCAGGAATGTCATTCAATCATCTCAGTCAACCACCATCAATTGCTGTTAATGTATTTTCCATTTATACAGGAGTATGAATAGGCAATGACAATGTATATGCTTTGTTTTAGGACCTAAATTGATTCTCGTATGATGTATATATATACCTTATTATTTCTCAATGAAATATACAAGAATTATTTTCCTTTTCATATAATAACAGGCCAACTCAATAATTATAAATGCAACTGATCTATGAAATTCTTGAAAAGCAACTGAGGATGTGACACAGGCATTAGTTTAACTTATTTTAGCAAGAAATTAGGAAGCAAAGCAAACTCAAATTGACTAATACAATTATAGCGAAATTGCTATTGACTGATTCATGTACTTGGTACGTAAATCGAGTAAACAACAAACTCCAAAACAAGTTGGAACAATTTATTCAACGACTAGTAGGTTTACACTTTCCCAGCTTGTCCTCAGGTTATGGTCGAGTGACTCGGGTCTGATTAAAGGGTCGACGGACAACAGAAGTCGCGTTGGAACTAATGCACTTTCCATAGACAGTCCTGTCACAAAATGGTTTTACAGCTGCATCCCACAAAAACATGAAATAAATATATAGAATCAGACAGAGAATATGACATTTTATTCAGTAATATATCACAAGATAAAGGAAAGAAGGAGAACAAAGAAAAATGAAGTAATAAAATAAAGAAAGATTAAGTCTGATTCTTTATTCGAAAAATATGTGTTGACTTGCTAAGTTTTTGTATCTATTAGTAAAGTAATTATGAAATATGGACTGACTGTTAATGTTTTATTTTTTAGTAATTAGTAGAATAAATCTTTGAATTCCTATTCCATAGGAAATTGGGTACGTGGCTTACCATTTCTTTAGGAGAATCCATGAGCTTAGGAGTTGTTACTAATGGGTTAGTTGCTACTGATTTTTTTGCTAATTTTCTGTTAAGTGTGTTGGTTGTAATACCTATATAAAGGCAATTTCATTATGATAATAAAGCAGTTCTTCTTCTTCAGAAAAGGTCTTTTTTTCCTGCATATTTTCCTTCATCTTTCTTTTTTTAACTGTGCCAGAATCTGTCTTTTGCATAACACTAACATGTCGGGAACTGATTAAAAGATTAAAATCCATGTTTGTGCCCGTTTAATTTCGAAGTAAAACTCATGTTATAATTTATCAATTATGTTTTACGATGCTTAATCAAATTCAGGGCCTATCTGTGCCCGTTTAATTTCAAAAAGTGTATCATGGAATAGTGATTGATGTTGAAATGTGTGGTTAGAAAAGAATGAATTTTTTTTTATTTATTTGTAATATTATTTGAATAAAGAATGTGTAGTTGAAATTGAGTAATGTAAACTGGTAAATATTAAAATCCATATTTTGATCTAAGTCAAAATCAACATTATGAATTTTAATCTAAGTCAAAATCAATATTAAATTTTAACCAAATATTTTATGGAACTAACAACTTTTCAACCACATATTTCATCATTTTTTTTGATCAAAATATACTAAAATTCTGATTTTAATCCCTAACAAACAAGGACTATATTACTTACTGCGTATAGAGGTTGACGTTCCTGGCACTGTATTTCCAACCGCCGAAGGAGAATGCCCTGAGGTACTCCCCGTTAAAAGTGTATCATGGAATAGTGATTGATGTTGAAATGTGTGGTTAGAAAAGAATGAAATTTTTTTTATTTATTTGTAATATTATTTGAATAAAGAATGTGTAGTTGAAATTGAGTAATGTAAACTGGTAAAGATTAAAATCCATATTTTGATCTAAGTCAAAATCAACATTATGAATTTTAATCTAAGTCAAAATCAATATTAAATTTTAACCAAATATTTTATGGAACTAACAACTTTTCAACCACATATTTCATCATTTTTTTTGATCAAAATATACTAAAATTCTGATTTTAATCCCTAACAAACAAGGACTATATTACTTACGGCGTATAGAGGTTGACGTTCCTGGCACTGTATTTCCAACCGCCGAAGGAGAATGCCCTGAGGTACTCCCCGTTACGCTGCCTTTGTATCATCATTTCAATAAAAATAAACATAAAGTGTATCAATGCAAATATATATTGAAAACTATAGGATATGATTTATGAATTCTTAATACCAATAATGGCTACAGCTTAAAAGCTTAGCCAAACATGCATGTCGAAAAAATGAAGTGCGTAAGTTTGAAGGCTGAGATGTCTCACTACCTTTTGAGTCGTCATACAATTTTCTTGTAGTTGATGGAATGAATAATATTGAGATGAGCAGAAAAAGGAAGAAGAAAAGAAAAGGCTTTTGAATCATGTCTCTTGGCTGAAGATTGCTTGAGATTGAGGGTGGATGCCTCTACTGATGGCATTCTTATCCATAAATAAAAATAATTAAGAAATGCAATTTTCTTATTTTGCCTTTCTCGAGGGTTTTATGTTGACTTGACTTAGTCATGGAT